GTCTTGTTTCCCTCTGTTCTATTTGTTTCATTTGGCTGTTCCCTTCCTCTCTTCTTTGCCTCTTTGCCTTTTGGCTGTGTGCAAGTGGGTCAAAATATGACACACGGGGATGGGGGCAGCCGCCGCTCAACCTACATCCACGTGGGCGGCCTTGTACGCAAGAGGTTCTGAACAGGGGGAGTTGTAAGGAAGAAGATTAAAAACGAATTTAAGATTTTTTTGTTTTTTTGGTTTTTTTGCTTAGGCGCTCTGATATCATGTGACAATATATATAAATAATAGTTCAAAGCCACCAGATATAGATAGAGACATAGATAGATCCCAGAGAGAATAAAGATATAGATACAATAGATAGATCCAAGAGAGAGATAGATATTGATAGATCCGAGAGAGATGTAGATGTAAATATAGATAGATACTAGATAGATAGATAGATAGATAGATAGATAGATAGATAGATAGTAGATGTACTAGTTGGGGAAAAAAAAAAAAAAAAAGATGTACTAGATAGATTAGGTGGTTCAATTAAATGCAGACCAATCGTCATTGTAACATGTATACTACGTTACCAGATCAGTTAATTCTTCCGTTACGAAATCTCCTCCGTTACCAAACGAATTCACCCTTGCTCCGTTACCAATTAGTCCTTCCACCGTTACCAAATCAATTAATCCTTTCTCCGTCGCCTAATCAATTGATCCTGCCGCCGTTACCAAATCAATTAACCCTTCCTCCGTTACCAAATCAGTTAACCCTTTCTCCGTTACCTAGTCAATTAGCCTCCTTCCTTTACCGAATTAAATTAATTTACTGTAGTAATTTGTGAATTATCCTCCTTGAAAACGACGCCACTTACCCTCCTTCCGTTACCAACCTAGGCTACCAGCCAGGCTGCCTGGGTCACTTTGTTTGCCCTTTGGGAGACTCGGCCGTGCAAGAACCAAGGAAGGTCCCAGCAAAAAAAAAAAAATCTAAAAAATCTTTAAAAAAAAATAATGCAAAAATATAAAGTGAACAGCTTTTGCTGCAGGGTCACATCGAAAGTCTTTCTACCCAATTTGAAATAAAAATAAAAATTAAAAAGTATTTATTTTTAATATTATTATTATTATTATTATTATTTTTTTTTTTGGCTCGGCCGGGCAAGTGGTCCCGGGCCATTGTGGTGGCCTAGTTATTACCAACTCGATTGTTCTCCTTCCGTTCCATAGTCAATTAAACCTTCTCCTTCCGTTACCATCTCAATTATCCTCCTGCCTGCCGTTAACAAGTTGATTAAACTTCCGTTACTAAGTGAATGAATATTTGAATATTTTTCCGTTACCAAGTCGCTTGTCTTTCCATTACCGCTTCGGTTATCCTAACGGAACTGACTTATCTTTCCGTTACTGAATCGATTGTTCTCCTTTTTCCCTTCCGTTACCGACTCAATTATCCTTCCGTTACCAATCCTCCTCCCTTCCGTTATCAACTCAATCATCCCTCCTCCTCCCTTCCGTTACCAACTCAATCATCCCTCCTCCTCTCCTCCCTTCCTTTCCCAACTCAATTATCTTTTCGTTAGGTGGAAGATGTATACCTACTGCGTTGCAACAAGATAGTAAAGGTGACACGGAGGGACACAAATAAGGAAAGCATGCCTAATGCGTCCAGGATGGAATACTCGTGTTTTTAAAGTTTTTTTTACGATTAAAAAAAGGAACCAAAACATGTAAACTCTTATGGCCGCAGTATACCAAGTAACACTACAATAATTCTGC